TGTATGTTATGGATGTGACGTTTTTCATGTTACGTTTATAAAACAAGTTCAAATGTTACATTACTAATATTTACTATTACCTTTAACTGTCACTGTAAATTTTTAAATTCATTTAACTTATCTTGTTATTTATTAGATTACAGGTTATTATGGAATGTATTGTATATATTTTTTCTTTACTTTGCTATATAAGTTAGGTTTTGATCATTTTTATAGGATCAATTGAATTTAGAATATCGTACATTTTTCGGGTCAAACAGTGGATCACAATCGAAAACTCAGCTTGTATTTCCTAGAATAATCTCGGCTAATCCTAGAGGTATTAAATGATTCTAGCCGATTTACTTTTTGAAATAAAACTGATTTATTACTTTTACTGAGATATTTTATGAATAAACTGCAGCTGTTCGCGTGCATATAAATTTTATACATTGATTTATAGAAACCAATAACAAAAAGAACTTTGTATATTCTATTAAAAGTTTTATTAAGCACGAAATGAAATAAAAACCTTAATCTTCTCCATTTTTAATTATGTTAGACTTCAATGTAAACTTTTGTAATCTTTATACAAAGTTTAAAAAGTTTAAAAAAATCGATGGCGCAAATTAAATTTAAGAAATTTCGTTCTTACCAAACGTTTCATATTTGCCACTATATATAAAAGGAAATTTCCTTATTTATGGAGTTCGATGAATTTATATTTAACATATAGATAATAATAGTTATGAGAAAGTAGTAAATATTCTAATTGTTATAAAATTTTATATTCTATAATTTTATATTATATTTATATTATATTTATATAAAGGCTCCAATGAGAGTCCCATAGAAAAAAATTCAGCATTAATATCGGAATGCTCTGCAAGCGTGTCTGGGTAAAACTATAGAGATCGATTAAGTAAATTAATCTGATTAAATTCCCGTCACAGTTTACTGTTCCGTTTGAATTATACACTTATCGGCATTTTCCAATGCGCATGTAATTAGCTCGATTAACGCACCTAATTATACGCTTGCAAATGATCGACCGATGACCCTGTTTTAATGGACTCTGTAATTAGAATTCACCATAAAGGTGCCACGCTCTCTTAGTAATGGTAATCCTATGGAGTTTACGCACCAACTTTCTTGATGGAAAATATTTTTAACTTATTGTTTTATTACATTTTTGGTATCTTGAAATTAATCTTCTTTTCTTCTTTTTCCTTTTTTGATTAAAATTCGTTATTTTTTTATTTGTAAATTGTAATTAATATTGTTGTTCACATCAAAATAATTTATTCGTTCAACAATAGGAAATTTCTAATTTTGACAATTGGAGTTTTACCCTTTGAAATTAGGTTGAAATTTATTTATCTTTCTGAATTTATACAACCATTTGTGTACATTTAATACAGCTAGCTTGTTCATTGAGTTTTGCTCGACCTATCCTGTCTTAATGTAAATAATGTATGAGAATCTGTAATTAATAACTTCACTTTTCTCTTGGAATGGATACTACATATATTTAAGTATATCAAATATCATCAGAGAAAAAAAATCAAATAAATATTGATTACTATTAAGATTTATATAGTGAATAATGAACAATAAATAATTATGCAACAAATAAGAATTATTTCATAAAAATCAAGATTAAAATTTATGTAACGAATACTAAGTTTAATAAATTAAATGTTCATTAACTACCAACACTGCAACACATTAAATACTATGCACTAACAGGAATAATACAAAATTTTACTTACATGAAATTAGTAATTTCATAAATTTAATATGTAGATTTAGAGTAAACTGCCGCCCTCAGAATGTTATGTCTGTAATCTATGACGTTATACATGTGTCCCTCTCTTTAGCATTAATGGATAAAAAATATTGGACCCGAGAAAAGCTAATATTATTTCATTTACCTTAATCCCGTCAGTGTTCAGTCACTCTTGGGTTATTTTATCTCATTTATATCATTAGACTAGATTGCCAATAAATAATCAAAACTTTTAAGAGTATATTTATTACTTACATATTTTTATATTACATTCATCCGAATATAATTTTGAAAAAAGGCAGTAAGAGAATACTCTTCAGTTTTCCAGATGGTGAAAATTTGTTAAATTACTACAGAATATGGATTTTTCATTTTATTAATGTTTAAGAAAGTTATTACATCATGAACACCTGAGAGGCAGATGTTTTCGATAACTTTATATACAACGTTGTCTTGATTTATTCAAAGTCTTACGTGTTAATTTTTCTAAATTTATTTTTAAACTTATGCCTTTGAGGTACATCGATTTCTTTGCTAGAATCGGTATTAATAACTAACGTCTTAAGAGAGCCCGCAGATACTGAGAAGATAGATGAAGCCCTTGAAAAACTGGGATAAAATAAATGCAGTCATCGCCGTTCTCTAGGCTTGACGTATTTGTTACCCGTTGTAGCATTCTTGTTTGAACTTCAAGTCTATAATATGCCTAAAAAGTATAAAAGTAATATAAAAGTCTCAGTAATCCACAGCTTTCCTGTGTACACTCTAGAAACAGCTTAGAAAACACGTACATTTGAAGATATTTATTAAAATTAGAATATTTTTTAATATTTTGTTTACCAGTATTTTCTTGTCTAAAAGCATGTACGAACAATATTGATTAATTACACATATTATATACTGCTGCTGTGATATTATGGTGACATAATATGTATTATATTATTACTACACATTATTACAATATTATATTACTCTCTATGTACTTATTTGAATACCCTAATCTTGCAAATATAATAAAAAAGTAAAATACTCGCTGATGATAAAACATATTAAATTCTATACAATCTCTGAACAACTACAAAAGTAGACCAAGTCTGTTGCCAGCGTAGCTAGAAAACATCCTTTTCAATAAAGGAACAAACATGCACCCTTTCAGAGTTTATATACCATACTATTTTGCTTTATTTATCACGATAATAGATTATCATATATATATTCTCATTTTAATACTCTGACCTACCAAATATCATAAAAAATAAAAGACTTATCAATAACAAAATATCTTCCATTTTGCCATATGATGCACATGGGTTAAATGGGTTAAACAATACAATCTCTGAACAACTCCGTAAGCGGAACAGATTCGTTGCTAACGTAACTAGGAAACATCCTCTTCAATAAAGGGACAAGCCTACACACTTTCGGAAACATCACCGTGCACGCGAAATTTCGTTATACGGCCACTGTTTCCATGTCGCGGCCGAGGGTTTGAAAATTTAAAAGGGCGCAAATGAGAACTGGCGCGAACCATCCGCCCAGTTCGACGCGAGCGCAGCGCTCCACTGAGACAACAGATATTTTTTCTTCTCAATTTTTTTGTTCCTCCATTTTTTGCACATCACAATGTTTCAGAAGACCGAGTCATTTGTGATACTCCTTTTTCACCTCTCTCACCTTGCAACCCCTTAGCTCCGCAAATAGCGAATGACGAAAGGTATTTTCAACATGTTTTTATTTCCTTTCTCTAGTTTGATGATGTCACTTTGCTGGATTACTATTTGTCGAAAGCTCGTTTCTCCCTTGACTGGTAAAACAATTTCACCGTATCGCGAACTTTCAGATTTACCGAGATTTTTGTGAAAGCGTGGACGACGGAATTTGAAACATTTCTCGCTTGTTCGACCACCGTTCTTGTTGCATTTGAAGAACATCCTGTCATGTGTCCCTTTAATTAATTAAATTTACGTCGTCTAATTTGATACTAATTTTAATGCAGTTTTCCGTTTGAAATTTATTCTTCAATTGATTAAGTTTGTTAAAGGGAATCATTTTTTTATGATGATAAATATTGCTTTTAAAGTTCTATGGTAGCAGATTACGATTTGAAAAAATTGAATGTTGAAATTCTGTCTTCTTACATATTTATTAAGTAAGTAAAATATTATTATTTAAATATTATTAAAATATTTATTAAGTGAGTAAATATTAGGACAGTTTTCTTGTTATACATTCATTCTGCGATTTGTAAAGTTTCTTCAAGTGGGTAATTTTTATTTTTGATAAAATACATCATTTCTCTAAATTCATTTCAAGTGTTTCTAGTAAAAGATATAATTTATTGCAGCTCCATAACAGACTTGGGAAAATCTAATATTTTTTTATCTTTTTAAATATTTCTGAAATAACCCTTCGTTTCAGCAAATTACCATTTGCAGTAACTGTTTCAAATGCTTCCTCGTAATACGATGCTATTTTGAAATGGATCTGCAATGGGAAAGATTGCTTCGTAACGGGAGGAACAAGCATAGTAGAAAAGAGAAACAATCTACACTACAGCTGAATGTTGTCGTAAGTACATTGCGACTCAAAAGTATAGAGCGCAATACAATTTTAAAACGAATTCTGTGTTCTTGAAGTAAATGAATCTTTGAAAGAAAAGGATAAAGATAAAATAAATTGTTTCCGCAAAACAAATACATTCATAAATAATTAAAAAATAATAAAAGTTCTATTTTTCATATCAATAGGTTCCATAAACTAAATATCACATAAATTTGTAATTAATTATTTCCACAGAAGTATTTTGTTATCTATTTCTAAACGCCCTTTATAAATTCTAGCATAACAATCACAGTCTAACTATTATATTCAAGAAGAATGAAAATTGGCAAAACAATCATTTTAACATAAGAAACAGTTGACGAGTTAATATTGTGGAATCAATTAAGAATAAAAGTAAAAATTGTAGAAACAATAAACAATAAAAATAAAAATGATAGACACCGTTTTCTCGGGTACTCTTTCAAGGGCAATTTCAACGTCGCGACAAAACCACTCCATCAATAAAATTCCAAATGGAGAACGTCTGCCACAATTCAGCAGATTTCCCTGTTTTTCTACCATTCTACGGTTCTATTTTTTGGCTCCAGGGCACGGGTGAAAAGAGATCGATTCTGGAGCGCATTCTCTGATGCTAAAACAACGTTCCTAGAATCAAATAAATCGCACTCACCCACGTGGAAAGCAACGAGGTGTCGTAATTCAGGATCGACTCCCAGTCGGGACCGTCTTGATACGTCCTGGTATCCGAGCTTTTGGAGAAATTGGTCCTGTATCTCGAGTGGCTTCTCCTGCGAAGCCAATCTCCTCCCTGCCTCCCCGCCGTACTGAAAAAAGGTCCGTAATCTCTTAATGGATCTTGTTAACACTTTACTAACGGATGCTGTCGCACAGTGGCAAACGAAACAACTAGGTTTCTGATAAATGACTCTAAACGCCACCAATTAACGCGTTCGAGTGTGATAATCCATTCTTGCTGTTCTAATATCGAATATTGTATCGAACAAATAAGTGTAGTTTGCTGTTCGGAGATTTTATTATATAAATATATGTAGACGAAAGCTGCAGAATTTATTGTAGAATATTGTGTTTGTAAACATATATTATTTAACACTAGAACTATTTCACCCATAAAAATAATGGACTACAGTTTTTCTTCCTTCGCAGGTATTGATACATATATTAAAAACGTTGAATATCCAAAATGATTTAAAAAATAAATAGTTTCATTTGAATATTACAATGAATATATAAGGAAACCGAATTACAATTTTTATAAGGATTACATATTAATCGTATTACTCGTTTGGTAGTTCTACCATTAAATTATTGATTAAAAGTTCTGTTTATATAAATTCAGCTATAATGATATTTGTTTTTCTAGTTTTTACTAGTTATTGATATTTTGTGATCTTTATATAGTTGAGAATGGAAAATGTAATAAATCAAATAAAATAATGAAAAAATAAAAAATAAGTAAAGGTAGTGAAAGAAGAATATTTTTTAATACGTAATATTATAATGTTTGACTTTTACAACTGAAAGAAAATAATTATTATAATCAGTGAGCATGTATCATGTAATTCAATGGTTTAAGACTGAACTTTTTTAAACTGATCAGATATTCGAATTATTTGTTTTACTCATTTCTGTGTCTTTAGTATCATCTAGTTTTATTTACATTGTTTGTTTCTAACATTAAGCCAAATTCAATAATATACTAGAATATGACCGTCAACATTTCGCGTTTGATCGAATCTTCGTGTGTATGAAACTGATCGAAAAACTTTGATACCTTCAATATTTTTTTTTCCTTCCCATGTAGTACAAATTTTACTTCGAAGTTTTTCTTATCAAAAATTAGATCACCAAACGTTACAGAAACGCTTGGTATCGAAACTATATAGATTATTCTGTATAAGTAGATTGTATAGTAAGTTATTATTAAGTAATCTTATTATCGCATAAGTTCTCGTTTATAAGAAAAAGAAAGTGAAAAATTGCATAGAATCCAAATAGTACAAAAAGAATATAAAGCATCTAAAGTGTAACATTTCATAGAGTATTTGTTTAGAAAAATTATTTTCCATCGTATTACGTTTATAACACATTTGCTACAAACGTCACAGATTTGTAACAACCACAGTCTTATACTTTATATAAAAAAAATGAAATTCATATTATAGACATTATTTAAAGTTATAAGATATGACCTTGTACCTAAGAACTAAATAACTCTATTTAGTTTTATTTTTCCAATATTTTCTGTAAAAGATTTGTTGGGTTTAAAAGAATATTGCAACTGAGCAGGTCGTATCTTGTTAAATATTGATATCGAACCTGTAAATTGCATAAAGATCCTCAGTACAATAATAAGCTAAAGTTTCGATACATACCTCTTAACCTGTTAACTGTGAAAATTAGTTTCAAAATTCGCTTATTTTGTGCGTAATAAAATCAAACAATTAAGCATATACTCGTCAAACGCAGAACAGATGCACCTAGAATGTATTTCAATGAAAAACCAAAGCAAACCGAAGAAGAATTACATGTTTATCTGAAAACATAAATAATTGATCGTTCAAAGAATTAGTATTATTTTAAGCTTTAACATGACATGTATACCCTTCAATCGCAGTTAACTGGTTGACCGCTTAATATACAGTTCCCTGACATACTCGGGCACGAAAAATTTACGAAGGGCCACATTAAACTTTACTAATTTATTTAAAAGTACAACTTATTTTTTCTATATAAACGAAAGCTTTTGTTAAGAAAAATTGTATAGTAACAATTCTGTATTGATAATCAAATGAAAACATGAGTAATGCTTGACTTGAAGTTCATATATAACGTTGTACGCCCAGGAAATTTGTGAGTTAACACTTTGGGATTAAGTGGGTTTAAAATTGACCTACTTTTTTTTGACAGTTAATGCATGGCGGGATATTTTTTAATTCCTTGCGCTATGACTTCTTCCTGAACTGTGATCAATTTAACTAATTTGTTATTAATGATTTATTGAAAATAAGAGAAAAATTCTAGGCATATTCTACGTCAATATTTACTCTACAGTATAATCATTGATAACAAAGAAACAATACATAGTTTGAATTACAAAAAATTAAATAATATTTATGTTTGTTAAATTCTATTTGAAATTTTCACCACGGATCTGACACGATATTGTAGGGCAGGAGGCTAATCCACCAAACTTCACAGAAATTACTTATACTCCTATATTATTATCGTGCAGTTCGAGTTTCTTGTTTCTTTAAAATCGCGTGCTCCTAAGTATTAAAGGGTTAATTGGGAAGTCGTAGAAATAGGAAATTTCGCTACGGATCGATTAATAAACGGCCGCGTCGAAAAGAAAAGTGGCCCGGTATGTTGTAATTAATGTTTTAAAATGTAAAAATATTCCGACGATGAAAGAATGACGCGAGTTCTCAGAAGCTTTTACCGGGAAAGTGAGAAAAGTCCATTCCGGGGACTAAAATCGAACGTATGGAAATCCACTGAGATCGAAGGAGACAGGGAGGTGGGAGGAAGGGGATGGATGTTCGAGAAAAAAAGGAAACGAATTTGCCTCGCTACGTGATGCCGGAAGTTCAAAGTTCCACGGACTTCGGCTGATTGCACCTAAAAAGGGTGTTTGACCAAACTACGAGTTTTTCCTTGAAACTTTTCGATTGACGTGACGCTGAAAGCTCTACTTGACGATCCGGGTGGGCAGCTTCTTATGGGAGACCTGTCTTACAACGAAGCTGGATCTTAAACTTTGAAACTCACTGAGCCTGAAGACACAGCAAAGTCGGGGGACAGTTTTATGGTCGGCGATATTAAAATTTCGTTACTTCCGGGAACAAGAACGTGGTTACTGCGAATTCGAACTGCGCTTTCGATTGACTCCGGCGATTAACGATCCGCTGATTGGCAGTTGTTTTGACCCTGTTTAATAAAATGTCATTTATTTGAAATTATTGTGTCTGATTTTATTATACATTATTCCTGATATTACATATTTATAATTATTATTTATATTATTAAATTCAGTTTATTATATTTTTAGTATTTTGTAGATAATATAATATATTAATATATTGTAACTATATAATATAGTATATTGAATCATTTCCTTCGTGTAAGACTACTTTTAACTAGGTAATATGTATGTATATATATGTGAGTTTGTAAATATTTCAATGTGAAAATTGGTTCGTAACACTAGAAATAAAAAAATTAACGAATTGGAAGCAATCGAATCGCCAAATCATAGGATGACGCAAATATTTGCTCATTGACACAGAAATGAATCTCGCAGCGCCTGTTAAAAATTTATATCTCGAATTATTAAAAATAATCGGTTTGTGAAGAGTCCATGAGTTTATACCGTACTGCCCACCTTTCATTCGTCCTAATTAAAATATGTTGTTTTTGTTCACAACAAACGTATAATTCATGCAACATTTTTCGAGTTAAATATTTAACACTTTTTATGACGTGTACATTAAAATGGGGCTTGTGAATTATATTGCACTTGCCGGTTATTTTGGATACGATACAAAAGTCAGCATTTTGTTTGTTTGGAATTGGAATTATCGTGAATACTATTGTATGATGTTTAATAATATTTTAGAAAAATTAGTTAGATGCTCACATATATAATTAATCACAATGAAAATTCTAAATACTTTTATTTCGTTTAATATTCCTGATGAGAATATGAATCTTGAAATTTCTGAAATTTAGATTTTTTAAACTTTCATTGGACAATGTTTTTATGAATTTATAGTTTTTGGATGCAGCTCTCCCTTAAAAATTAATGCATGTTTTCCATTCGCTTGGATATTATAAAAAGATATGTTTTTAAAAAATCTTATATTTTATATTTTGTATTTCTTATAACATGAAACTATGTATTACCTCATTGCATATGTTTCCTTTCCGAATACGGTTCGACAACTTTTTCCGAATAAACTTTCTATTGGGTAATTTAAAATGCAATGCGTAGGGATATCAGAATAATCAAATATTGTTGTCGCAGAGTGAAACGAACTGTCAAGGCAAAAAATCCTCAAAAATGTCATAGTCGTATTCTATCAACTTTTTCCGGATTAGCCGCGCTAATGGGTGAAGTTTTAAAAGAATGCTGAGGTTTCATATAAAAATTTTAAAATACGAGTATGTAGTGGACTGTAATCCTTCGAGGTCGCTTTTGTGAATACTGGTTTTTTTATCTCAAGGGTATTAATACAAAGACAGAAAATTCCAGAATGATCGATATACAGTGTGAAACACTGTTATTATAATCACAGAAAATATTATTAATCAGTTATTTTTATTAAAATCAGTCAGGCTCAAAACATTCTATACAAAATTAAATAAAAAATATATTTACCTTTTCATTACTAATGTTATAATACACTACTGTACAAATTAAAGAATTGCAAAATCTTCGTTGTAAGTTGGCTGTGTTCGAAGACATGACCTCAATTTAAAAATTAACATGAACAAAACTTCTTTTTATCTAAAATATATTCTCGTTCATTGTCTATCGATCGTAAAATAGAATATATTTTAGATTTAAAAAAGGTTTGTTTACCTTAATTTAAAAAAATGAAATACATATAAAGGAAACTCAGTATTTATGGAATGACCCAATATAAATGCACAATATTCAGTATCTAATTATTATGGATATGTTAGTATATCTGCTTGGCAAAGCTTCCGGTCTGATTTTCATTACACTGTACATTGAATGCAACGAGGACAATTGGTTGTCTTCAACGGGCACGCTCTTTTATGGTAATGTGAGAATGCGATT